TTTGCATTTAAGTCAGCTTTTTCCGTAGAAAGTAATAATTAAAATGATAAATGTGAAATGTGTCAATTTCAAAGTGAATTGGTTTGTAGGAGGTATGAAAACAATGAATAATTATGTTGATAGTAGTTCGTATCAGACATTTCGTCGGGCAACGAAATACTTATATATTTTTGTTGGCAAGTTTGAGATTACATATATAAAAATATGTTTTAGAACAAAATATTTTTGGTCATCATAATGTAAATATTCATACTAAATCCTTAAAACTTTATTTACATTTTTTTTCAAGCAATATATTTAAAAATATTCTAATGTTACATTTTTATTGTTTCTATCGAAAATTGAAACCCTTATGGAAAATATGACCATTGTAGTAGACCAATCCACTATTTACGCATCTTATGCATTTTGTGTTTTTTAAATGTCGTAATAAGTATGCTATAATAATGTGACTAACATAGTGTGATATAAAAATGGACTTACAACGTCCATTATTTGTCATATTGTGAACTTAATAAATGTCATTATATTGACGGGACTTTTTTAAAGACTGTATTCTATCCTTGCACCGGTATTACAGTTTCGCGCCAATATTCAAAAGACCAGCGTGCTTCACTGATTGCATACTGCACATTTTCTAAATAAGGAAATATTTGAATTTAACGTCACATTCACTTCAAATGGGCTGGGCAGGGAAAACTTATCGTTATATATGTAAGAGTTGTATGTTATAATTGAAGCCATTGTGTCGTACAGACCATTAACAAAAACATATTTAAAAAATAAGTTCATCTCGACCATATATTGAAGAATTGGAATCATATATTGACAAAATCAACTTATATATTGCTAACTCGGTTTCATACACTGACAGTATGGTTTCATATATTGTATCTGTGGATTAATATAATGGATTCCGGTTAAATAAGAAGGTGTTTTCAATTCATATATAGTCGAAGTGAGCTCATATATTATCCAAATGGTTAAATAAATTGAAAAAGAACAATATCAGACAGCCATGGCTTTCCATACAACAGCCAAAACTAACTCTCTTAAATCAACCATATGCCAATTTTGGAAGCAGAAACTAATATGATAGAGATGAAAGCTCGTTCTTGCATATTGTTGATGAACAAGTTAAAGTAAAATTGTAAACAAAAATCCATCGGAATTTATCTATAACGTTGAATTAAGTTATAGTTATTATGTATAAACGAGTTAGTTACCAGGATATGACACTGGCTGGGGCGACATCGGGCGGTGTTTCTGTTAAATAATATCGAGGCCGATAGGGCGAAGCTATTTTTATGCAGAAACATGACAATAAAAAAATGGCATAATGTCACTTTAACAGGCGAGCTGATCAAATAAACGTGTCATGTTCTTAAAGAACGTTTCTATATTTTTTGTTCTATGTATTGCATTACCATGTTCAATTCAAAAGTTTTATTGCAATATCTAGCAAACGGACAATTTTGATTTTTTCTTGAAAATTTTCAATTAGCATTGCCAATTTATTAATAGTTAAAAGCTTACATAAACAGATAAAGTTATATAAGAAAAATGGCTACAATTAAGAGATGTTTGACAAAACCTGCTGTATTGATCTGTTATTTAAAAAAAAATAATTAAACAGTGTTTGAGGATTGAATTCAGTATGATGTATATCAATTTTACATATTTTATTTAACATGATCAATCGTTTGTCGTTCTATCTGGCGAAGTTAAAAGTATCCTTACAGTTATATACGCGAAATGGCTAGAATTAAAAACTGAATGTATTGAAATGTTATTCAAACATCAACAATGTTTATTGTATATGAATTCAATAGGATTTATTACAATTTTACATATTGCATAAGCATGTCCAATCATTTTTCGTGCTTTCTATCAATATTATGAGATTTGTTTTGAAACACGTTATCGAATCATTATTGAACATTAACATATTAATTAGATTTGATTTACAACTCAGATTGATAATGCTTGACTTTACGTAATTATCTTAATCATCTTCCGTGCGAAAGTATATTAAATTAATTGTAGTGAAAAAAAAATCATAACAACTTTTTTGTATTGCCCAAAATGTTTAGATAACCTTATTAAGTATTTTAATTATACATGAACATGTATCAACTGTATAACTGGATAATGAAGTTTTGTTTGATTATTTTATTATTGATTTAAACACTCCGAAAAAAAAAACTTATAAACAACGACCTCTTTTACAAATTCCATCAACCTCCGATGTTTCGAGGAGTTATTTTATTTCAATCCTTCTTTACCACTGTGTTTGTTTTATTTAAAGAGTCACACGTTAATCGTCTTTTTAATTGTGTGGTTCATAAAATAAATAGCACACGCCTTGATAAAGATGGGGTTAAACTTGAATATTAGTAAACTTTGTGCAACAGTTGATTTTTTTATTCATTTATTTATCCTTTTTTCTTTGAAATATGTTGATATTCTAGAATACAGATTTAAAGGCAACATTTCCTTTTTTTGCAATCCAGAAAATACTCATAAACAATTAATTAAATATATTGTCCGTCCATACTCCAATTCAATGTGATTAATTTAATGTGATAAACAAGAAACGCTTTGATTTTCATGATCGTAATAGGATATTCTTTGATTTGATTATATTTGTTTATAGGCAAGGTAAATATTTGTTTTAAAAATTCCGCGAACAGCAGTCATTATTAGAAGTCTCTGGCAGATACACTATACAATTACAGTTTGATATTTAAGAGAGATACTTTATACTTTATTTTGAAAATTAAGAAAAAACGAAAGAAAAGAAAAAGAAGACAAGAGGAAGAAATAGTAGAAGAAAATTGTCTTTTTTTTCATTTTCTCGTATCTCATTATGTATATATATATATATATATATATATATATATATATATATATATATATATATATATATATATATATATATATATATATATATATATATATATATATATATATATATATATATATATATATATATATATATATATATATATATATATATATATATATATATATATATATATATATATATATCGAAATACAGCATCCGTTGCCGGGTGGTTATGGTCGAAAACGTCAGGTCACTCGCCCTTTCCCGCGGTGGATTCGAAGCCCACCAACAACGTTGGATTCTTGTGAGCATACTTTCCAGCAAGCTTATAGAACGTCGGTGGTTCTACTCAGGTTTGTGTCTGAATTGATGCACGGTGGAGCCCATGAGATCTTCCTTTCCTCTACTATAGATGGATGATCGTCAAATCGACTTTGACAATGTTGTTGCGACATAAAAACCAAACAAAGAAACAAAAACTAATAAATTAGATACATTTTGTTTAGTTTGGTATTAGACATAACATATCGATTCTATCAAATTTGACTTTATACATAATGCCTATTTGATACGTGAACAATTAAAAATTAAATTTATAGTTTTCACGAAAGGTTTTCTTTTCAGTGACTTTGTTTTAAGTTCTAAAAACTAGTCAATAATCATTTACATGAACCTTTATCTTTTGCTTCTGTTTTTTTTCTGCGCAACTGATATGATAATATTTTTTACATTATTTTTATTTTATTCCGAATGCATTAAAACCATTTGACATGCTTTATGGTAGAACGCGACACTTTGCGAATTTTTTAGTAGCGTCTTCATAAACTGGCATGTAAAACATTGACCATATTTCTGATTATATTCCGTTGATTTTATTCCAATAGTTTCATCCAATTCGTGTTCACACGACGTCGAAGTTGACAATCAAACCCGTTTCTGAACATGACGTCGTTGCGTATCCTTGGCAACTGTTACGGGTATTACAACGCAATAGGCGGACAAAATATCTTAAATTCTAAAACATTCGAGACGGAAATAACTTTTTCCTTTAAACTGATTTAAAAAATTGTCAATTTTGTGTAAAATTTGACGTTCAGTTTAGCCCCATTCAAGCGACTGTAAAGCGGCTTATAAAAAATTCATGAAAGAAATTGTTGATTTTTTTCTTGAAACGTCCTTTAAAATGTATAATCAGTCTAAATGACTAAAAAACGTAGTTACTGTCAGTTTTGTGAGAGTGATTCCCCCTTTTTCATGCCTATATAACACATAATTTTTGAAGTCCTCAAAAATATTTTATGTAATTTAAATTTCTTAACAGGAATTATGTACATGTATTTGGAATTAATATTCTGTTTCTGGCATACATACTTAAACAGTTCTTTGTCAGTGATCAGTGAACATTATACTTCGAAGTTTTCTTTGAAAACTGAATAAAATATATGCTGACATATGTCGGCGCAATAAATTGGAGCATAAAAAAGTTTTTTAATCTATTTTTGTTATATACAAATGTACTTTGTATATATAACATATTTTTTTAGGACTTCAGCAATTATGTGTTATATAAAATAAAAAAGGGGAAATAATTCTCATAAAAGTGACAGTAACCAAATATTTTCTATATATTACGTTCAATAAACAAAGTTTAAAAGAAATATCTTTATTATTTTTCTAGAATATGATGTTTATGTCATAAGCCCGATCTGGCATTTTGCTACTTTTTTGCTCTTTTGAAAGAACCCAATTTGACACGTCTTTGATGTGTGTGATTGACATATCACAGTTTAAAATTTATAGCAGTTGATTGATGTAACAGTTGTTTTTTTTCTTTTCAACAATTAGAGTATAAGTGAAATGAGTGACAATGACACTATAACATATATATATAACACACCACTATCAATTTTCTTTAAGCGCTTTTGTTTTCAATAAAATTTAAAAAGTTTAACAACAAGTTAATAGATCTACATAGTAGCTCCCTTTTTTTTGCACACGTCAAGTAATTCGGTAATCTTGTGTTAGTATTTTCAGAGACATTTTTAATATTATTGCCTTCAAGTAATTTTTAAATATCATTTACATAGAAACAATCACAAGTTTGAAAATAATATTTATGTCTTTTTTCTCACTAAATCAGACCAGGATTCATTTATACCCGCCGGAACATCATTTTGGAGACCTTGAGTGATTCATAATGTTTAAATGAGTAGTATATCATCCCACCTTGCGACTCGACAGGTCGTTGTGTACCAGGAGTAACATATTCACCGTTTAGATTTGCTAGAGCACAATAATTATACCACCATCCACCATGGTCGTCTATAGCGCAATTAATACTGGATCCATCACGATCCATGTCGAAAGTTGAAAAATTTTTACCATTGTGATATGATAAACCAAAGTCATCGCCTGTTGTGAAAACAAAACAATAAAGTAAATCAGATTACCACATTTTGCTAATCTTGACATTATTAATTTCTTGTTAATATTAATGATGTTATAAAAGGGCTCTGTTATTATACAGTGTATATACTGTAAACAACCATTTATTTTTCGACGATGACAATAAATACCTGCAGTACCGACTCCCTTGTCGATATGAAGAGTATAATACGGCATTGCACCGAGACTAAAATTCTGAAAAGTTTCATATACAGATGTTCCGTCCGCTGCCGTTAGATCCAGCCTCAACTCTGTTTTTCCTCGGGAAACCATTTCATAGATGTTTTCAAGGCCTGTATTAAGAAAGTTTCTTTCTCAGAAAAATCTGATTAAATGCAAGCTCATATTTATACCTGTGTGACTAAGAGAATACTTAATAAAGTATTCTTTAAACATTTTCATGTTTGTGAGGTCATCTTTTGTTGTATCGTTATTATACTGATAGATTAAGGAACTATCCTATATTTACTAAATAAATAACCCACATTTTCAATTTTATATATGGGGATAGAAATGCAATCTACCAATCTTGTGTATATGTACTGTTAATGTTTGTCCATCTTGGGTACATATATACAAATGTACAATGTACCTTCAATACTGGTTTGCAATCTTATTTTTTAACAAACTGAGGTAAACACATGTATGTATTCTTCATTTGAGACAGTTTTCATTCTTACTTTCTAAGTATGATACGAACTTATTGACGGTTGACTTTATACATAAGCAACGATGCCGCTCAAGCGGATGCAATCATTTTAAACGGCAACACTGAGCAACCTCTGTCCTAAGAATGAAATGTTTATATACATTGGTTCCCGGTTTTACATTATGATAACAGCAACATTATAGTAACGACGATATAGTTATAACGTTTACTTTACATTGAGAATGACGATTTCATGTCTCTTTGTAAGTTTTTTTATGACAATAACACAAATCTGGAAGAGCACAATTGTTTTTTGTAAACTTCATTTTGGATAATTAACTGCACATTCACGAGTCATAAAATAAAACTAAAACAAAGATCATGACAAAACATGTAAAAGTAAGATGTTGTTAAAATTAGAATGTTATCATATTATTCTTTTTTCATTTAAAAAGGTATTATACTAATAAGCGTGTTTGCGTATAAACTTTTATAAAATAACAAGAATTATTATCGAAAAAAGGGTTGCTGGATATTCCCTTCCATATATTTCTTCAGAAATTAATGCAAACAATAGTATGGCAAATAAATCAACATGTACTTGGATACCACTCACCTAACCAAAATTCACCATCTAAAGAACCAAATCCTCTTTCATAATCACTAAAGTTTCTGTAGAAATCAACGCTGCCGTTGAATCGATATTGAAACACCTGATGGAATAATAAATGAATGTACATGTAATATTGTACCAGAAATTATTACAAAAATGACAACTTCAAAGCGAAATGTCATGTCTCTGATGAATGTCTTTACAACACCATCTATATGCATGTTCATTATATTTGTTGAAGCATATGAAAGTTTCTATATCGATATAAACGAGACATTTTATAATGTTATACTTGGGCGCAGAAGAATTCTAAGGCTGTTTAACCGCGTGGGTTCAAACCCCGCCTGGTGCAAGCCGTTCTTTCTTTGAACCAATCTATCATTAATGATTGGTGCAAGGAACATAATGTGTGTCCATAAGCATATAGCTTTCAACACAATCGAACTACAAAACATTCTGTAATACTAATGATGTAAATTTTGACCGGTTTGGAACATTCTAAAATCATTTTGTTTGAATGTACGCAGTATTGTTTTACACTGCGTCTTTCATTGTTTATCAACATTAAGAACAAATTGTTCTCGACATACAAATGAAATAACAGTATATGTGAAAGGTTACGCTTAGAAAGAAATGAGTGCTATAAATTAATAAGATATATATACACACACTCACTAAGAGAAGCATTAGATAACTATGAAGATGAAATCTCCTTATGAATATTTTTAGGGAAATAATAGATCATTTACTTCAATATTCACTTTGAAAGACTTGTAGACAGAAAAAGTATAATATTAAAGAAAGACAAGAATATTATCACAAACAACAGGTTCTTGTATAATAAATCAAACTGTTCTCCAAAAATTTTCATGAAAACACATGCCTTTTTACCAGTGTCACCAAGGGCTAGATTACCAGACCTATTCCCAGTGGCAAATATGCTTATTTTTTACAATTTTTAGAAAAAAATCATAATTGAGTTGAAATTCACGTTATCAAAGCTGACAATTTTGCTCGATTCCATTCCAATCCGATAGTGGTATCAGACAGGTGATGTTCAAAAACACATTTAATTGTCAAATTTTTATGTCTTTGTTATGCTTTGAACGATATACAATTTTTTGGATTAATCAACTTTGCATAATTCAAAATACTCTGCTGGTACCGAATATTTTTCCTAATCAAGTATTGTTGGGTATCGGACTAAAAAATCACTATCAATAATCGGACCTCAAAATCGATTGTCTGCCGATAGTATAATCAAGTTTCGCATTTTGTATGGCCCTTTTTTCTTTAAAGGACGGATCCATGTATGTCTTTTTTATACAGTAGAGACCACATTTTTAAATTCTTGTCTCCAAGATTAAAGTAAGATTTACTCTTTGAATTCAAAACAAACAACACAAATACATAATACAACTTTGTGACAGCCAATGTTTTATAATGCGCAACCAATATTAGTACTAGTCAACAGGTCAAAAAATTGTAGATCACTAATTTAAGTACAGTAGGTATGTAACTTTAGAAGGTTATGTTATTACACACTATTATCTTCTATAATTAACCATATTAAATAGGTTTTGAAAATTATATGAATTTTATCATTAACATTTGAAAATATGCACATACTTTTATACTGGTTTGTCTCAATCATTCAATCGTGCTCCTGTTGGGTATTCATTTATATGCAAGTAAATTTACATGGTCCAGTAATTGCTGTCAAATATGGTAAGAACCAATTCAGGGTGTAAACTATTAATAGTGCTGCAAATCCATAGGGTAAAATGACATCAAGGTCTATGTCAGCCAACAGCAAGTTTTATATACCAAATTGTTTGTCTAGGTCTGTAGTTTCCGGAATGGATATTCATTTGGCTCAAGTCCGATGCGAAGCTTAGAAATCCAAGATGGCGTGAAAGATGGCCGCCAAAGCCCTAAATATTCTAGAATATTAATGTTGGCTCATATTTGTTTCCACTTTTGTATTTCAAGTCAAATTTTGCACGGAATATGTCATTTAAAGCGTTTTATACGAAGAGGCTTAACTTTATTGGGGGAAAACAGATTGCTTTTTTGCTTTTTTATACATAAATATGCAAAATAATGCTTTTAACACACTTGTATATGATTTAACAGAGAAATATGTATTACTTATTTTGTTATTCCACTATTGTAATGTACTCGTGAGAGTAATGCTTTAATGTACTCATATCATATCTGAAGAAATCTTTGTTTGTTATTAAGCAGTAAGACATATACAATGAGAGGCGCTACATCAAAATAGTTTTAGAATGTGAGGTAACTCGTACTTGTTCTATCAATTATTTCCCACTATTTCTGTCAAATTATAGCTTCTTTGGTGCAGTCTATATACCATATTAACATAAAAGGATTTGAACAGTATGCAAAAAGAAAACTGTTTATTTATCTATAAGTTACATACGTTTTCTGTGTCAAATGAAATGTATTTTATTTTTTTAAGTAGCTTAACTTGATTAAATAGTCATTTAAAAAGTTAAATATGTTTATCTACATGTATCATTACTTTGTTGGCATCCGGTTTCATGAAGCCTGCAAAGTATCCGGATAAAACATAATGTTTATATGACAATTGTTCAGCTTGGCTTTATTATTGTGTTTGTGGTATTTTAAATTCCTTTTATTTGACCTTTTCGTTTTGTGTGGTTCTAGTATTCTTATTTAAATACTGTATAATAACCCTTTAGATATGTTGCCTGCTTTTAAAGATTGTCTTTTGCCCTTTCATCTCGTTTTATAAATCCATTTTATTTAGTTTCGCCCATTGTTTTCTATTTCTTGGGGACAATACGTTGTATCAACTCCAATTGATTTACAAAACTTAGAAAAGAAATGAGCCAACGTAAATATACTAGAATATTTAGGGATTTGGTGGCCATCTTTGACGCCATTTTGGATATCTTAGTTTCGCACTGGGGTTGGGTCAAATGAATATCCATTCCAGAAACTACAGATCCAGACCAATGTTTTGGTATATGAAACTTGCTGTTGGCTGACATAGACCACCTACCCCTCTAAATAGGCTAGTAAAATAGTCTGATTTGCAGCACTACAAACTCACTGATTAAAAAGGAGTCGTATAAATTATGCTCAATTAATTACAATGCCGTAGATGTACATCGGCGCCTGCATATCATGTCACATAATTGTGTTTATTGCAGTTAATTTTCAGCATTTAATTTCAATGGTTAACAGATATGCCCAAAGGCGAGGATTAAAGATATTGTGCTAAGTAAAGATTTATACAGGATGTAAGTAAAAAAGCGCGGCGAAGAAGAATTTGCCTTGATGTTCAGGCAACAAAGTCGTTCAAATTGCCCACTTATTCATTAGCCATGTTTTTTCTGTATTTCTTTGTTTATAAGACAAACAAAAAGACTTTAAGATCGTCTGAAATCGGGAAACGTCTATTTCAACGCGTGTAAAAAAGTTACACCCTAGGCAATTCAGCGATGGAAGAACATTAAAATAATCATTTTTTAAAAAGGACTATTGAAACTGAAATTGTTTAGTTTGCGTTTCAAATTTACATACTGAAATAGTCCAAGATTTGTTCATATATAGTACAGCCTTAAACAAAAGTGTGTCAGTTCATGCCCACAGTTTATTATAGTGTTATTTAAGACCATACTTCTACTATTTCTGTCAACTTTGGCATGGCAGTTATTTTCCCTTGCTGAAAATTATCACTTACATGAAATATTATAGTATGGTGTTTTAAGGTGGTACAAATCAATCCTACAGGGCATTACAAGAAACTGAAAAAAAATTTACAATATAGTTGTGTTGCCTTGAACAAGGCCTCGATATGTATGCAAAAGTTACAATACAGTTCATCCTTATGAACAGTGTTTACATTTTTAATTATTCAAGATTGAAACAAATGATAACATTCAATATCAAAGCACAGATATGAAGTAATACTTTCTTCACCAATTGATTTAAATATGTGTGAAAATGTTACCCTACCCTTGATTAACCATATTTTCTGCTAAGTGTGCCTCATTTGCTAAGATCTGCTTAATTGACAGGCTGTTTTTAAAGTTTGCAGGAACAATCTTTCTAAAACATTCTTTTACCTTGTAGTTTTGATTTTATTAGGCTTAATAATGGTAATGTAGTGGTTATTAAAAATTGTGTGCAGTCTGAACAAATAAATAGTATGCTGTCTGAACCTATGTAACAGAAAAAAATATCACAAAAAGTAATTTAGTATTACTATGAGTATTTATTAAAGAAATTGTATTTTGAATATATTTAAATAGTGCTATTGAAAGTCATTTTGTATGACAGACAAACAAATTTAGTGCTCTGCATTATAAATATGGAGAAAAATAATATAAGCATTTTAGCAAATTATTGGACTTCATATACTAGTAATTGTTAATACAAATTTTTTAAGGGGTCATGCACATATTCGTCACTGTCATATAAATGAACATAAGCATCACAGTCTGTGGGAATCTCAATTTTGCAGATGTAATACAGGATAGTGTGATCATAATTGCATAGGCTCAATAATCGTTCAACCATGAACACTTGGGACTAGTTGGACTATTTAAGAGGGGTAGTCCGAGTTAGCACTTCAGTTGATTCCCCTGTCAGTAGTAGAGGGCAAGCCAAGAACATTGTGTTGAAGGAACATGTTAAATCTGGCTGTCTCGGCTTCAACAAAACCATCACACTAACCCAGTAGTAATAACATAATCAATGGCGATATTTTGATGAATTAATGCTCCTGCATGGGACTTGGGTAACATATGACTGAACAAACCAATTTATTAAAATATTGTGTAATGTTTGACAATGACATACATTCAGAGCTAGCACACTGTTTTCACCAAGAGGGGACTTAAGTTTGACCCCTTTCTGTATGTCAATGAAATCGGAATTCTGATATTACTTAAAAGGTGCAACATACTGGTATCTGATATAGAACCATAGATTTAGCATGTTATTATAAATTATGGTCCCAAAAGGAAGATAGTACAGTTGCTGCCTTAACCACGTGTCACTGTGGACTCAAGTAATATTATGGACAAATATCCGTGTTCATTCCATACAAATTTGTACTTGTGTGGAAAAATGTTGCTCATAGGTAGAAAATATGTTCATGGTGTTTTGAGATTTTAGATGATTAAAGAAAAAAAAACACAATGTAAACTTAGGAATGACGTCGGTCCTTCACAATCTTGCCCCGAATATAAATAAATACGAATTGAAGGGTTTTTACGTAAACTTCACAAAGTGTTAGAGACATTTGAGAGAAAGTGCAGTGTTCAAGAAACATTACTCTACCTTGCTTAATGTTTAATTATCTCCCTTAAGTTAAAAATGCTTATTTGGAATTTTACTTCCAAATCATCACTGAAACTACACATTGTTGTACGCACTCGAATTTGTGTCAAAGAACCATAAATACATAGTTTAGTTTTTAAATTATCTCCATTTATAATACACGTACTTATTAATGCTTGTCCCAAGAAAAACTTTAAAAGAGATTAAAATTTTACACAGCGTTTTAGCACAACATTCACGTAAAATGAGGTGTAGTTTCAAAGAACCACAATCTTTTCCTAGCTTCACCTTTTAACCCCATGAGCATATTTCGAAAAATGGCCGTTTTCATTGAAAAGCATCCTGTTACAAGTTCCAAATGCAATAAAACTATGAAAAATTCTTAATACTGATAAAACTTGGCACATATGTTGACTGAACCGAAATCTCTGTAACAACATGCTCAATCTTAAATTTCCTGTTACCATGGCAACGGGGGGGGCGTCTCAAAATTGCGAAAAATCACTATTTTGCATTTTTTTCCATCAAAACTGATTTCAAATTGCTGCAACTTCTCAATGCAATGAGATAGAGTAAAAGGCTTTTAAGCGTTGGTTACACGTCACCTTAAGATTGCCCTGAGGCCATTTTAGCCTGTCACATGTCCAATTCTTTTTTGTTTTTTGGCGATAAGGGGACTGCCGCCCCATTCAAACCCCCTAAACAGAAGGTGGCACATCCGCCTTCTGTCAACCCCCTGGTGTATCATTTTGATGGGGACCGCGCCGAAAAAGTAGTCACTTTTTTAACAACATTTCTCAAACGAAAAACAGTGTTGGGGGCCTAAATTGGACATGTTTTCACTTTTTGTGGCCTCAAAAAAGAGGGGGCAAAAAGCCGTCAAAACACGCTTTTTATGAGGGAAAAGGTTAATTATACAATTATCATCTCTTATACATCTAAATAAAAATAATGGTTGTCTGGAGTATATCATTTTAACTTTAAATGATATCTCATTCAACCTAAACATAATTGTAAAGACTAGTTAGTAGAAGTGCTGTGTCAAATAACCAAAATTCTACATTACTTAGTTTTTGAATTGTCTCCCTTTATATTATTCCACGATACTTGTTCAGAGAGAGAGGATTAAGATATTGACGTAATTTCATTTCATTCCAAACAGTGAAAGAGATTAGCATAAGAAGTGCAGTGTACAAAAGCCATCATCAGTTTTAATGATATGGCCACATTCATATAATATGATGCAAACATTTGACCATTTGAGTCTTTTCTTGACACTGAAACGGAAAAGTAATTATATCATAATTGATTATTTCTAGCTCACTGTGTAAAAAATAGTCGAGGGTGCAGTTTCCTCTGGCAGCATTTTTTCGGTTATTGCTTTTGTCATAAAGGGCCAATTACAGTTTGTGATGGACGTACATATAACCTAAATATTACATTCGAACATGATGTCATAGAATAATTGATTCTACTACTATTCATTTACTGAATTGTGCACTTAATATTTATAAACCGGCAACACTCTTCACTCATTAAAGTATCTGCCCCCGAAATAGTAAAAAAATGGTAATTTTGATCTTGTGACGCACCTACTTCTAATACGTCCTAACTGCAGTACCTTCAGCACTTTGATGAGATAAATTACTCGACTAAAAGTATAATAAAAAACTAATTTGTCAAAGAAGTGCGATTAACGATTTAAGAATGAAATTGAAAACTTTACCTTACCGCTATTTCTTAAATGATAACTGCGACATTTTGAAACATCAAATAGTTGATATTAAAGAAGCAACATACCGTCCAACCACCCTTGTCTGTCTCCATGTCGCAGTATATTTCTTTTACAACTTTAGATCTCCATAGGAAAACGTTATAAACTCCACTTTTTCTCGCCAATCTTTTATGAAGAATATCGTAACAGTCCGTGACATTCACTACAATATTCGGTATTTTTTGTTTACTTTTGTGTCAGTAACTTGCAGCTACAACGTATCCAAATCAACCTGTTGTTGTTTTTGTTTGTTTTTGTTTTTGTATGTTTCTTTGATGTTTTGTTTGTTTGTTTTTTGTGGGGTGGGTTTTTTGGGGTTTTTTTAGGGGTGGCGGTCATCAAAGTGAACCCGTCTTTTAGTAACATGAACATGTGTTTTAAGATACACAAGAAAACTGTTCCTCAAAATAAAAGAACCAGTGGAATATGAAGTGATTCTTTTCCTCTTTTACTATTCAAATTCAATGTGTATTAAAATGTATTACAATTGGACGAAATACAATACATTTAAATTAGTTAAAAATTCTAATTTCTTATCAACTGTAATAAGATATAAGCTTACGGGCGTCACAGTTTCTTCCAACATATCCTTCAAAACAGTTGCATGTGTAGTTGAAAAAATCAGATACACAGCTCCCATGATTGCACGGATTTGACTTGCAGTAATAACCCGCTAAAACAAAGCACAAACGATAAAAAATAGAAGAATAAAAGTGACGATTGGGATGAAAATAATTATGCTTATAAAAATGGTTTAAGTCTTAGATTCATAATACTATATTTTTTTTTCTTTTCTAATTATCTTTGTTGTACTGATATTTTAATATATAAAAAAAGAAAGATTTAGCAAAATGTTCCATTGTTTCCACGAATACACCCGTTGTAGCATTAAAATCATTGTTTTATAACTCAGTTGATTATAAACAATTTAAGAATATTTAAAAGAATTACATGCGATGTTAGAATATCGCAAACTGGTCAACAATAAGTTATTTAATAAACAACGCCAGGGTGATAATGCCATATGGAAATATTCAAAATTTAAAGATTAAATTTGACTACATACATATATTACAGTAACGTCCCTCATAACCATGGTTACAGTAACAAAGAAAATCATTAGAAACGTCATAACATTGACCGTGTACACATGGACTGGTCGAACAATGATTCGTCACTGTAAAAAAATGAACACATTCATAAAAGCAAAATATGAAATTGATTAACACCCTTTGAAATCTTTCACTTAAAAAATAAATGGTGTATTCAACTGAGATATTCCGGTTAAAACGAACAGTACTACGATTCTTATGTGCAAAAGAAAATGTGACTGCTGATTTATCACCAGTATAGAGCAGTTAGACCAAGCTCCTGGCTGATTTATTTTAGCTTTCTAGTTTGTTAGGCCCAATTCTTAAGACACTTTCCTTGCTGAATTACTTTTTTGAAATTCTGCCCCGCCAGTCGCGAGCGGTCATGTTGAAAATTCGGATGACAAAACTGTTTCCAAATTTAGAATAGTCCGTTCGGTGCAAACGGGAACCAGAAACATTCTACGAACAAGTTCGAATTTTTGCAATAATGGTAACGAATAAAAACAGAAACTGACGTTTTTAAACGATATGTATTATGTGGGTCAGACCTTAAATGGGCAGTCCCCAAATGC